GGGCTGCTCAGCTCCTCAAGGTTAGCCCAGATGTGTGGGCACCACGTCCCGAGAGCCTGCTCCTGGGGGCCTGAGACCAGCCTCCCGGTTACCGGTGCGAGTCTTGACACCTCCCCCTCCAGAGAAGGCTCGCTCCAGAGTTCGTTCCCCCACCCCATGGGGCAGGGCTTCTGGACAATGACGGGGAGGTTCTGAGAGAGCGCCTGTGCGTTATTTCGTTTTGCTCTTTCTTGGGTAGCTAGAAACCTTAGGGTCTTAATTCGACCAATGTTTGTTGACTACTTCGGGAGTTACACAATTTCCCGTCAACGTGATAAGAGAATGGAGGGGGGTGTCGAGCCCGTCAGTCAGCTCACAGCCGGATGGTCCCTCGTGTGGCATGGTTTTCTCATGAGGAGTCTGGGAACTCCCTTTCTCTTGATTCTGCCATCAGAAGAGGCAGGCCTCTCTCTCTGCCCCAGATTCCTGCGGACAAGCCACATGGAGTCACACTGATGGACACCCTGGAGATGTGTCCACGGCCCCTGGACCCACAGGACTTTCCACTCACTGGCCTATCGTCTTCCTACATTAAGCATCATGGCATGTGCTGTGTGAGTCTGAAGAGGACTTCATGGGCTCATATCAGGCTTGTGGACTTGATCTGGACAGGGCTTGGATGTTTTATTGATGCATAATTAGTTCTTGATATAAAGTTCTCTCTTAGACATTTATGAATGTCCCTGGATTTGTTGCTCTAGTCAACCTGGTCTAACACAACTGCCCAACAGATAACACACCATGCTGGGCTGAAAAGATTCAAGGAGGAACCAAAGAGACATGGTCCGACCTGGGCTCTGCTACGCACTACCGGTTACACCGACGGCCTCACATGGTCATGTGAACCTAATTCTTGAAAACTGTGTGGCGGGAGTGGGTGTTTCTATATGGAAAACAAGAGGCTGGCCTTCAGCCCAGGGCATCAGAGGTGAACACTCCTCGCTTGTTTAAAGCAGAGTTTATTGGTCTTCACCATTCCAAGAACACCGTCCCTTTGAGAACATTTGGATGCCATTGCACCGCACAGTGCAGCATGTCAGTGAGCATCATTCCCTTTCAGTAAGGGTTTGAAACATCAGATGACCAGGCACGTTTCGCCGTCCCCTTAAACATGCAGGGCACCACCAGCAGCATCAACGGTCATGAGACATCATGGAGCTATGTCACGCACACGTGAGGGGGCATGGTGTCGCCCAAGCAGCAGATGGGCCTGTTTCCAGGTTCTCCACGAGCTGGGACAGGAAGAGGGTTGTGAAGGTCGTTCTGAATATCATGACCCCAAGTGAGCATCTCCTCAGAGAGGCTGGGGTTTCCCAGCTGATGTTCTGGAAAGGCTGGCTGTCAGTGTCCAGGCTCTAGAGTGAAGCTCGATTGAAGCCCAATACCTTCTTCAAGGCGTCCTTAAATTCTTTGTTCCTCAGGCAGTAGATGAGCGGGTTCACGATGGGGGTGAGAACAGTGTACAAAACAGAGATGAGCTTGTTAGAACTGCGCGTATCGATGGCCTGGGGCCGGACATACATAAACAGCAAGGCCGTGTAGAAGATGGTGACCACAGTGAGGTGGGAGGCGCAGGTGGAGAAGGCCCTCCAGCGGCCGGTGCCCGCAGGGATGCGCAGCACGGCCAGCGTGATGTGTGCATAGGACAGCACCGTGGCCAGCAGCGGGAAGACCAAGATGATGAAGGCCAGGACGAAGTCCACCAGCTCGGCTGTGGAGAAGTCGGTGCAGGCCAGTTTGAGGATGGGGGAAATGTCACAGAAGAAGTGGTTCAAAACGTTGGAGCCGCAGAACTTGGCGCTGGAGATGAAGTAGACCTTGATCACGGAGACGCCGAAGCCGCTCACCACGGAGAAGGCCACCAGCTGCACGCAGAGCCCCGTGGTCATGATGACCTGGTAGCGCAGGGGGTGGCAGACGGCCACGTAGCGGTCGTAGGCCATGGAGGCCAGGAGCACACACTCGGTGCACACCA